CTGTTTGTCTTGGCTTTGAGACAGCATTCAGGCTTATTTCTAGGAAATTTCGTGTTCATTTACTACAAGTCATAGTCTTCCTTTCATTCTTTCTTTCTCTTTCTTTCTTTCTTTCTTTCTTTCTTTCTTTCTTTCCTTCTTTCTTTCTCTTTCTTCCTTCCTTTCTTTCTTTCTCTTTCTTTCCTTCCTTCTTTCTTTCTTTCTCTTTCTTTCTTTCTTCCTTTCTCCCTTTCTCCCTTTTTCTCTTCCTTTCTCTCTTTCTCTCTCTCTTTTTTCCTCTTTCTTTCTTTCTCTCCTTTCTTATGTTTTCTGAGGTCTAATTTGATCACATCACAAAACACAGGGGAAAAGCAGTTTTGGAACCATTTTGCATGTGCTATGAAAATGCCTCTTCTTCCACAGTGTGGCTGTGAATGCCCTTCTCTCTCATTGACTAAAGACCCTGTGTACCTTGCAGGATCAGTTGCATTCAAAAACCTGTCCTTTCAAATTTGTTTAGGTAAAGTGCAGAATGCAGATGATTCCCAGAATAACTCCTCTGGCTTCATTTGGAATGACAGCAAAAACAAATCTGGACTTAGCTTCTCATCTCAATGGAAAGGCATACGAGGAGCAGTGAGAATCTGTCATTGTTCGTAAAGGACAACGTTACATGAGAGAGAGAGAGAGCACAGGAGAGAGGCAGAGAGAAAGAGCCTTTTCCTCTCTGCTACATAAGGGCCATGTTGAGGTGTGTGAGGACAGCGGGGGTCAGCGAGTGCCAGAACTGACTCTGAACTTCTGGCAGAACAATCTCCTGGAACTAAACCCAAGAATACCTTTATGTTCAGCAACCTGCAGGGAGATGTTCCACAGCCAGCTTTCTCCACAAGAGCCAGGTTACACTGTCTGTACATGAGAGCAACTGAAGCAAAAGCTTTTGTCTTTTAAAACAGAGTAGCTCACACGCAGCACAGTGGACTTGAGCCTGATATTTAATATCAGACGCTGAGCATGAATCCATTTGTAACAGAGGAGCCATAAACCATGAGATTATTTGTCACATAACAGGGAGATGGTGGGTGCAGATGTTCACACACCATGTCTAATTAGAACAGGAACAGATATGTTACAGGAATTAGAATTCCTTCAGTAAGGGTCTAGCTCTGCACACTGGTCTTTTTAAACTACCAGATACTTTCTGTGTCTGAGCCACTTTTCAGCCATGAACCCAAGTGTTTGGCAGACACTCCTGCAGCCTCAGTGCTTCCCTGTCTTAGGAAGGGAGTAAAGACTATGGTGCTCATTTGTCAGAGGTGGTTTCACTGAACTTCCACATGTCTGCACACACAGTCAGTGTCAGGACTAGAAATAAAGTCCAGAAGTCCTGGTTCTCAGTCCTCTCCCATCGGCCATATTCTCCTGAGCTTGCTTTACCTGCATATCAGGGATTTTGTAGGCAACTACAGAGACAGAGAACAGATTGCCCCCAAATGGGTCCTTAATCACTCAACTTTTATCACTGGGAGACAGTAGCTTCCCTCCCTACCTCCTTGAAAAGCTTTTAAAATAAACACAGGTACATTAGAACAACAGTCCTTCAAAAAGGGTCCCTTCCTCCCCCTTACCTTCCTTGCTCTCCTGTCATTAAGCAGAGCAGAGCCATCCTTACATGTGACATTTGGACAGATTGACTTAAGCTATTTACTTTAAGCTTTTTTTCCTCCCATTCAGGATCACTTTCATTCATTTTTCAAGTGTCTCAAAATTTCTTTTGCTAAATCCATAGATCGGGTGATTCAGAATGAAGCAATGCCATTTTGATAAAAGCACAACCCCGAAGCTTCCCTACTCCTCCCATAGTCCCTTTCTGCTTACTCTTTAATTCTCTAATTAACTCACTAATTCTGCTGACAAAAGGAAAAATACACCAGCAGTGGCAAAGGAAATCTCACCTTTAAATGCCAATTTTCTTTTCTTCCCACAGAGCCTACCTTGCTGGTTAAACTGTTGAGTAATTGTATTCTGGGCTCAGAGTCAGTGGGTCAGATTCTGCTCTGAATTACATCAATAAAAACAACCACTCCAGGGCAACCTTTCATAAATATGCCTGCTTTTAAACCAGTGTGCTCTCCTGCTTGAGGATGCCTTCCTAAACCAAATCCTAACCCAGAATTACCACATTAATGTCAGTGGAACTGACGGGTGACAGAGTTCAGACTCTGAACTCCATCACAAGGGTTTTCTCTCTCTCCCAGCAGCAGAAAAGCAACGAGCAGTTTTAACACAACCCTCCTGACTTACATTCTCTGCTCAGCAGAAGTCCAGGAGCTTTGCTGGGTAGGTTGAAGGTGCAGTGGCATAGATATGTGTCTGAAGCGAGGATGTGCCATGCTGTGGATCCTGTTGGGGCAAGGGCTGAACAAAGATCTGTATAATACCCTCTTATCATGGGCTTTGCCAAGCCACTCTCACTATCAGACACTTTTTCCCTCTCATTGTTGATCTTTCTTGCTTGATGGCAACTGGAAGGTTTTGGATATTTCCTCTAGTTCTGTATTAACTCCTCCTGAGGAAAATGTGGTGCAAGTCACCTCTTTGGAGAACACACAAAAAGAGGGGCAGAGGGAAAGAATTAGGGATGCAGGATCTGTGGAGTGACACCAAGTGATGTTCATGGTACAGACTGGTCACATCGTTGGGTAACTGGAACTGCAGTTTGTGGTCCTCTTGAGACAGTAGCTCACTGTAAAGTTAAGTCTTTCTCTGGGCATATAGAGTTTGAATTAGGGGAAATGCTCAAAATATATAAACAGGAACTAGTCTTGCAGAGAAGATAAGCTTTGGAGTGAGGGGGCTGTCTCTTCCAGTGTGTGTTTAGTGTCTACTGCAGTGGGGACTAATGTCATGTTGGGCCTCTGGATGCTGGGCCTCCCTCAGTGTGTGTACTGCTGTAATACACAGAACTACTTCCTTCCATTGACTGCCTTTTTGTGGCATTGTTTTGTGTGATTGACTCCCTTTTTCATCCGGAGGCCAAAGAGTGATTATTGGAGATTGCCAGCTCCAGACCTGAATTGTTTTATTCAGGAAGTTAATTAAAATCAACCCACCTCTTTAGAAAACCTTCTCGAATACAGTCTGGATGCTCCTTTCATCTCAGTGTTACTACTTCTTTTTTTTTTTTTTAATCAGAGCTCCTTAAATCATGGAAATAACTTGGCAAAGGAGCTGTATTACAAGAAAAATCAGTTAGGAACGTAGGTAAAGGCACATAATAGGTCTTTAGAGGAGAGGAATGAATTTAATTGAGTGAAAGCTCAGAAAACCCAAAAGTAAACTCAGGGTCATCAGCATGCTTCTTTCACTTATCCCTCAGTTGCACTTCATAGATCCAGGCTTCCTTTTGCTCTGCTGTTATCACACTTTCCTTTTGCTGTGATTTATTAACTGTGGAACTGTCAAATTATGAAACTGAGGTTCTAGAAATACTTATTAATGTTTGAGAAATTCATTTCACACTTGAATACTTTTTCTAACACTTACTAATGTCCCTCATTTTGGTCATGTGGGTCTACAGGGCAAGAAAACAAGGTATCTTATTATATATTTAGCATGTGGAGATGAAGGATGAAAAAAATGTCTTTTAAAACCCCCTCAAACATTGCAGCAGCCCTATGCCTTTGGTCCTTGTGCTGCTGGATGTGGTGACTCTGTGTGTGTGTGCATAAGCAGGGCAATGTCTGTACATTCAGTGACACCATTCCAGCTCCCTTTCAGTCACTATTAAGAAAGCACTTCTAATCCCCTCTGAGAAGCTCGAACATAAAATTCCTTTCATGCCAGTTTTGTCTTCCTCAGTTTGGCAAACACTGACCTTCCCCCTGTGATTCCAATGGAACTTGTAATTCAAAAGGCATTTCTGTTTATTATTACCCTGTTAGTGCACAGGAATCATCAGGGATGCCAGGACTGCTCAGGCAACAAGGTTACTCTCTGAGTCTCTGTTGCAGTTTTGTAGTGCAAACAAAAATACAGCAGGCCAGAGATAAATGATGATTACTTTACTCACTATTTAATCAGAATAATGAACCTAAAATAATTACTGAATAATTACTTGCCTCGAGATCCTTGGGAGTAAGTTTGCCACATTTATTCCCCACATAAAGTTTTCTGATGGAAATTCATTTAAAAAGTAGAAACGAAGACCACCAAAAATGTCAAAGTTTATGAATTTGCTCTTACAGGACTGGAACATTTCTACTTCTTGACACTCAGTTTTGAAACGTGTTACGTTACACCAGTATCAAATTTAACAGTTCTAAACTGGTATAGTCTTACTTAAAAGGAGGTTTTCCTTCAAAATACAATTTTGCACAGAATACTGAGCTCTGTGTTTCCATCAGCATTAATGAAGTCAAGTTTAGTATTTAACCTAATCTGCTCAAAGTAGTCCTATTACCCTGCATGCTTAGAGAGACATCATCTGATAGGAAATGGCCGCAATACCTCCAGCTTTCCTAAAATACTGACAGTTTCAACCGTTTCTTAAGAAATACTCACTGGGGACTGCAGATGCTTCTGCTTTAAAACACAACCATCTTCTTCAGCTTAAATGGGTGACTCCTTTCAGCTAAAAAGCAGTGATATCTCTGGTGTAACACTGAAGTCACCCCAAGGAAGGAGCGACCACCAGACGTTTTTCCTTGACATCCCTCAGCACAGTGCTCTCCTCCCTCTGCTCCCTCGCTGGTACCATCCATGATTTTTAAATAACCATAACATCTTTCCTTCAGGCAAGTATTTCATGCCAGCACTGGGAACATTGTTTTTTTCAAAGGAAACACCAGCAACCATTTCTAGTTTTTCACATTTGGTAAACTACTCCTCATGAAAACTGAGTGCAGCAGAGGTGCCTTCTCCAGTGCACAGGTGTCCACTGCATGCTCAAAACACCAGAAGGGGAAAAAAGAAACCCCTTTGGCACAAGTAACGTGGAAGACATCATTTATTTTTCTTACCTACAGTGGGAGATCTGAATTCTGGTCTTGTGTAATCCAGCACAGAAGCCAATGATGGGATGGGATGGAGTGTTTACTCTGCTGTCTCTTCTGTTTAAGCTGGGGACAAGACAAAATGTTAATACAACAGTGAATCCTCCCTGAGGCCCAGCCCTGATCACAGCTCTGCCCCACGTACCTGGATGCCCCTCAGTGCCCGTGTTTTCCAACCTGCCAATATATAAGTGCTTCATTTTGGTATGTAGGAAAACGCTCATGTGTGACTGCAACCCCCCTAAATTCTGTACACACAAATTCAGCAGATTGTTTGGATCAGCACATACCCCTTTGAAAGTTTGTCTTTGAACATTTCCTCTGTCGCTCTTTCTTTGCCCTTCAACTTTTGTGTCTGTAGACTTGAAGTCCCATGTGGAAGAGCCTTTCTTACATCAGCTGAAACTACTATTTCTTCCTTAAACTGTACACATGGGTCACTATTCACTTTGGAAATTGCTCTGTCCTTGATAAATGCAACTTAATTTTTGTGTGAAACAAATATTGAAATATCTCCGTGAACAGTTTTAAACTTGACAGGTCAGTTCTCTAAATCATTTATTTGTTTTAATGTTACTTAGCATCCCTGAATCTAAAAGCATTTCATAGAGATGTTTCCCTGACCGTTTCAGTAATGATTTAGCTCACTGTTAATGCTTCCATTTCACAGAGGCACCAACTGAAATGCAGGTATCTGAGAAGTGCTATTGTTTTTAGAAGGGTTTAGCATTGGCTTCTGATTTCTAGGACTCACTTTGCTGAGGGCTCAGCTCTTCTAAAAAAAGCTGTCTACAAGGGTCAGAAAGAAACTATTAAATTGCCTGACACCTATTAATCTACTCCTCTTTTAGGTCCGTAGCTGTGAACTGAGCTCATTGAAATAAAATCTCTCATACTTGTGAGATCATGTATTAGAAAATCAGTCCTGGTGTGCCCAAAAAGTTGGCCCCACATTACATTATTTCCTTACACAAATAGTAATAAAATACTTCTTTTTTTTTTTTTTTTTCTCCCAGAAGATATTTTATTTTAGGGAAATGCAACAGGAAAGAACAAAAGCAAAATTCCCATTTGTGAAAGCACAGCATGTGCAACTTCACTATAACAGGCAGCAAAAGGTCTAAGAGCAGAAAAAGGACTACTGAGACCTGCACACAGAGTTTCTTATAAATTAGCTCAGAAAACCAAAGGTAGAGAGCACTGTGTGCTAAGGGAGGCTCGGATCATAAAATATTTTTAAAGTCCTTTAGCAATATTAAAATTCTGCTCAGCAACAACAATTGTAATACAATTTTTCCCTCTCCTCGCTCAAAAATCAATTGTGCAGCCATTCTCTTTGTTAAAAATATTCAAAACTCTAAAAAAAAATGGATTTAGTTGAGTTCTCACCCTGGAAAAATGAGCGAAAGTGCTTAATCCATCGGTGTTGGTGCACAAAGTGCATTTGTTGTGCTGCTGGATGTAACACGATCTGAACCAGGGCAGGAGAGCGAACGCTTTGCAGCCCCTGATGGATTTCAGATTTATTAGACACTGGAATGTTTTTTTTCCCCCTTGTCTATAAGAACATGGTGTGTAAGATGATAAAGGGCAGGAATAAAGGGAGCAGACATTGTAGCCCTTAAAATTAAAACAACTGTTTCTAGATTTTCCAAGTGTCAATGTATGAAAAACCAGCCTAAATAGAAGTGTTGCATTATTCAGCGTGCTTTCCTCCTGGAAAGAAAAACATTTTGCAGCCACTGACAAAGCTATGGACATGTGACTAATACTACTTTTATTTTCCTATATGGAGAAAAAACCCATCACAAAGCCTAAATGGAATATTTATGCTGTAAGATAATACACTCATACCTGTAAATTATGAGTGCAAGCTGTAATAATTCATCTTTAGTTTCATTACTCATGCACTATGGAGCTTTCAAGATTAGGGATAGATTTGTTATGCCACTACACTCCAGTATATGTTTTCCCTTTCTTAACCCTCTCCCTCTTTTCTGGCTCACGCATCCTGTACAGTAGGAGCAAATTTCTTTGCACCAACACATACAGGCTGTATAAGCTGCACAGAACTGGCATCATTTTCAAAGGACATATTAATGATCCATTTTATGATGTTAACCAGGCTGAAAAAAAAAGTAGCTCAGCGTATAGGGATATGATTTCAAATAAATTTGGGAGGAAAGTTTCCTATTCTGAGAAGAGCTCCAAGATGTAACATTAATAAAAAGCTGTTGTAGTCTAGTGTTACAGGGTAGTTCTCTTGAGCTTCCAGGATGGGAACCACAGTGGTCTGCTTGTGGCAGCAGTAGTTTTGTTCCAGTATCTATATGTTGCTTTGTGAAAGGGAATAGCAAAAGTCTGGAATGAATTGCTTCAATGATTAGATTTCCCATGAAAATATAAACAACAAAACTATTCACTGAAAGAGAACTTATGTTTAATATATAAGCAGAGGAATAAACAAGCTCTGTTCTTCTGTTTTTGACTCTGTCTGTATTTTAAGTGTCTGAAAGCAAAGACAAGGCCAAGGAGACAGTTTGGGCCAGTGTTCTGAGCACTCCAGGCTCTACTGGGGTCTGCTATTGAGTTATTGTGTAATCTTGAGTGAGTCATTTAAATTCTTTGTGCTCTGATTTCACCAGTCTGTAAAATAGGTGTAATCCTCCCCCATTTACCTCAGACAGCAAAAATATCTATAAAACATCTTAGATGACACGTTATGTTCAGGCAAATTTTCCTTCAGTAAAAAATTCTCTGTGTGAGCTGTATTTGTCCACAGATCTTTTTGTCCTGCAAATCTCTGCCCACAGACACGCACACAGAGTCGTGTCAGTGCTGTCTGAAAAATGAGATGAACATGCCTTTACCATGAAATCAAAACCATCATTCTGCTCCTATAACTGCAGAAATTGCACTAACTATCAAACTTTTAAGTCTTTTCAAAGACCAAATCTTGCTTGTCCTAATCAAGTGAGAAGTCCCAGTAAGAATCAGTAGGATACTTCAAGCCATTAAAGAAAGCGGGATCTGGCCTCTTGTAGAGCATTGAGGTAAAACAGACACAGTGCTGCAGTTTGCATTGGACAGTTCTCAATTAGAATGTCAAGATTTATGGTGTATTTTATCCGGTTTTCATTCTCTGCTGTTCAGTTTAACTTTTGACCTACGGTTATTGGCAGAAGAGGGCTTGTCCCAGAGGGCCATTAGCCCCTTCCAAAGAGGCATTCTAAGAAGTGCCAAAAAAGAGGGTGGGAAACAGGTCTCTTTGTAACAGGACCCCTCCTCCTTCTCTGAAATGCTCACACAATCGATGTGATAGTGAGGGTACAAGAAAACAGGAGATCCTTAGGACTTTTCTGCACTAAGTATTTCAGGTCTTGCATTATTCCTCTTCTGTCCTGCCCTGACAAGAGATTGGATGGGGAAGCAAATCTTGTAGAAAGGGTCAACACCAGTTGTGCCCAAAAATCTGCATGGACTCAGAGTAAAAGAAAATGGAGGTTATAAATACAGGGCACCTGTACTGAGACCTTAATAAGAGGCAGAGTAAGGTATGGCATCCAGGTGTTCTCCAGAGGACTGGAGTTCATAGAGCACCCAGCCAACATGGGACACAACATCCTTACAATATATGGTAGAAGAGTTGCTGATACATCCTTGAATTTGATTTAAAAAAATGCTTGGGAATAAATAAATTTATCCAGGTGTGTGATAGCCCTGCCCAGTGCATTTCCTACAAAAAGAGGGAGGATGGCTGTGCTGAAGGGGAGCCTGCTGGCATGTAACTGGCACAATTTCTCAAGGCAAAACCTTTAGACTGAAAAAAAAATCAAACAGGATCAATGATCTTGTGCTGGTGACACAAATTAAGGGCAGCACTGTAAACCTGGAAGGCCAGAGTATTCCAGGGGAAGACCTGTATGATCCCGGCCATTACAGCATTAGGAAAAAAATGAAATGCAACAGGATGAGAAGTCAGGCTGTGCAGTTTGAGATTAATAAGAGCAATGCTCCGTGGTGAGCGAGACGCTCCTCAGATGGGGACGTCTTCACAGCATCGAAGTTCTCCAAGGGCCTTCCCATGGACACAGGGGGGACAAAAATAACCCAGCTCGCTTTAGGATAGCGCCCTTCATTTGCAAAAGGGATTATATAACTTGCTTGCCTCTAACAACAGAGGACTAGTTTGATGAACCAGAAGGCCCCTTCCAGTCTTATTGTTCCTGTTATTCCCAAAGTTAGATTAACACCAACCTTGCCTGGAAACGTTGTTCCTGTGCCTGTGGAGAGGGAGTTTGCCCTGGAGCTCTCACGACGAGATGTCTCTGTAAATGGGAATCGAAAACTCTGTAAATGGGAATAGAAGAGGTGCCAGGTCTGTAATTTAAAAAAAAAAAAAAAGTAATAGATCTAAATCCTCCTGATTTGGGGGGCAAAAAGGCTCATAAGGACACAGTGTGCTACAGGAGACCAGCCTTGAATTCCCCTCAGGAGTGGCTCACGGCCTGTGGCAGCATCAGTCCCCTCAAAGGGCACCTGCTGTCCTCTGCCAGCCTGAAGCAATTGGGGCAGAAACACTCAGTTTAGGAAAGTGACTTTTCTCTAGACAGGCTCCCACCTCTTTCCCTCAGGCCTTCCTTCTCACAGCCGTCCCCGCCTGTCAGGACGACAGGGCCTCCATACCCCACAGACTTCACCTCGCACAAATCCCGGGCCTGGGAGCAATCTCTCCACCTATATCATACATATATATATATGTTTTAATATGGAATATGTGACAGGAGGTGAAATTCAGCTGTGCAGGGCTGCCGGGAGGCTGTGAGAGGCAGGGCAGGGCCCCTGACTGGTTCCACCGCCATGTTGGCTGCTGAGGGGAGCCGGCCGTGCCCTGGCAGGTGCTGTGAGGGCACCTCTGCTCCCTCAGGGCAACAAAGCCGGTTAAAGTGATACCAAAGTGGAGTAACACAGCCCAGGGTCTGTGGGGTGGTGGCACTGCCTCTGGGTCTCTCTTCAGGATACAAATTTAGGTGTAAAGATGCTCAAACCAATTAACAAAATGGAGGCAAAGCTGTGGCAGTGACTGCCTGGGAGCAGGCGGAGCTATCAGAGCGCACAGCCCAGAGCAAAGGAGGGTAAGTGAAGTAACAGCTATTTAAAATGTGTGAGAATAGAAATTCACCCTCCCTGACTCCCCAGTCCTGTGGAGTGGAGGAGTGGAAAAGGCCCTCGGTCTGGCAGGGTGAACACCAGCACCTCACATCTAGTGAGCGTCCCTTGTGCTGCCCTGTCACTGTCACTGCTGCTCCCGAAGGTGGGACTGCACGGTGGAGATGGTGTTTTAGCATGTGTGACATCTTTTCCTGGAAGGCTATGATTAGAGAACCTTTAGAAACAACCAGGGAACCTTTGGAAATTACTGCAGCTGGCATCTGGGTTTCAGGGCAGCGCTGGGACAGGTTCAAGCTGCCGGGCAGGAGGCAGGAGCAGGATAGGGATGGTGTGGATGTACCTACCCCTCCATCTTCTGTCACCTCCACAACAGCAGCAGTAGCAATTTGGAAGGGGGCTGTGGCAAAGACACAGGTGTCTGCCAGGTGACATGTCCCTGGAAGGGAGTTGCAGGGAATAAGCCAAGGACACTTTCCTCCTGGGAGGAGCTGCCCCAGCCACCAGAATGTGCCGGCCCCCAGCTTTCTGTTCCAATTCCCAGCGTGGTTTAGCAGTGCAACAATTTGCTCACAAGACACAGAGCGGAGCCCACCTACTCATTCCTCTGCGCAGCCATGAGACGATAATGACTTTCAGTCAATGGCGTAGCTTTGAACAGATGCCTGGAGGTGAAAGGATCTGTATTCCATTACTAGCCCCTCCAACTAGCCAGGGTCCCCCAGGTTAAATATTTTTAGCAACAGCTTGTTTACATGTCAAACTTGTCAATGAGCTTCTGGGGCACTGCTGCCACAAAGCTGTGTTGGTGGCAGCCCGTAAGCTTTCTCTATGCATGGAGCTAATGCCTTCTAAAGGGCTTGTCAGATATATTCTTCCCACTGTGTCACAAGAGCAAGACTAATTTCAAAGAAATGCTCTTTATTTCTACTTAAAACTGCTAAGGAAAATATCCAGCACTGTCTTTTTTCTTGTCATCTGTTCGACAAGTGTCTCATAAAACAAATTGAGAGGTTTAAATCTCCGAGACAAAAATCAATAAGAGGATAAGTAAAGAATAGGAGGAAGTCAGCAGGCTGAGATTTATTTCATTGGAAATGTTTTTTCAGTGGATTTACTAATAAATCTAAAGTGGCTGGTGCAGCTGCCTTTGATATGCAGTATCCCCTTTACTTAGATGGAAGCTGCACATGAAAAGGAGCTTTGAATACTGATTTTTACAAGGGTGTAAATCAGCAAAGCCCCACACGTTACATATACCACCAGCATCTGGTTCAGGTAGAAGTTAAGAAAAAGGATTTGTTTGTGTGCCAGAGTTTTCCTCTGTAGTTTTGCCATTTTTTGTTTAATATATTGCAGTAGTTGTGATCAGGGCCTTGCTGTGGTGGACACTGAATAATCCGATGTAATGAAATAATTTCTGTCCCAAACAGTTTATAGAGTTTCAAGGGTAAGAAACTCCATTGAATTAACAAATATGGGCTGATCAGCAGTGAAATCACAGGGAATGATGTTTGTGATGGTGGAACAAAGCTGTGGCATCCCTTGAAAATCTGCTCCAATGAGCACTTCCCTTGTGGTGATGTGAGACTGGTAAAAATTTAAATTAAATGGATGATTTGAAACAGATTTACAGATAAAGAAAATGAAATAAACTCCTGAAACAGTCAGGAGAAGGTCGGCATGGGCTGACTACCAGTCATTTCTAGGTTGATCCCACAGCTGGCCTTTGTTCCAGGAAGAAGGGATGTTCTCCTGAGCGACAACAATAATGGCTGTTACTGAAATGGATGCACTTTGATGTGGGCATGTAGCAACGGAAAAGGACTGCACCCCAGTCCAGAATGCCCTCCCTGCCGCACATCCCCCCAGACTGTGAGCTTTTCCAAAGACCCTGTGGATGAAGAGGAAGCTATAATGAGCTCCTTGTTGAGTAATAGGAGTGGTTTGCTCCAGTTGGCACACATGACAGATGGCTGTGGGTAGGGAGCGAGTGGCTGGGGTCTGTGTATGTACATATGTGCTAGGAGGGGTTCCAGGATGGTTCCGTGGCTCACTATTCTATTTCCAATTAAACAAATAGTCCTGGATGCTTTTACAATGTCAGATGGGAAATCAGCCAGAAACCAGCTGATATCTTATTGTTCCTTGTTCTTCAATCGATTCTGCGTCTTTCAAAAGATTTCTCTGCACCAAACATGTATCAGAACATGGTTAAGCTCCGCTGTTCCAGCTCACAAATTTGATGTTAGGAAGAAATGTCGGAAGTGAGAGTAAATCAACAGAAATGGCCATTTTCATCCCCTTATATGGTTTTTCTCAAGTCAACATGAGAAACATTTCACAGCTAACTGTGAAAACTGGCACCTCATTACCTACTTTATTATTTCTTATGACTTATTAAGGGTTATTATCATTGTTCATTATCCTTTTTGATAGTGCATACCCTGGCTATCCTATCGTGTTATTACTGGGTAGTAGTAGCAGACTCTTACATTTAGGTCACTTAAACAGCTTGTATTTAAAGATTCCTATGGATATTAGTCTGAAGGGTGCAACCAGTACTGTGATTTGAAAATGGAAAGAGGGAAAATGTGGAATGAAAACTGTGTGGTTATGTGCTAAATGACTGTGTCACAGAGCCATACTCACTGTGGGGCTGAACTGAGGTTGCACGATCCACCTAAAGTCTGTAATTTCCATTGTTTTCAAGCACCTCATATTGGAATCAAGGTAACCTCGCATTAACACAGTGGGTTTTAGTGCAGTCATGTATATATATGTTATACAAACTCACACACATGTATACAAACATTGTGGAAAGTCAGACAACCTTCATAGTAGACAATGCTGCCACTGTTTTCCATAACACACAAAGACACACACTTAAATCTTCGTAATTGAAACAGGGATAATGCATTCCCTGTGTCACAGAGCTTTAAGGATATATTATATGGTTACTTATGGGTTTCACCATAAATTGTTAAATGTCATGAAGTGATGGCCATAATTCATACAACCCCTAACTCTGTACCAGGCATTCCAAGAGGGCAGTACAGCTCTGCAGCATGGGCAGGTGTGATCTCCATCTCCTTGAGGAAGGTGCAGAGAATTGACAAAATCCATATTGTGAATCAGCAGTACAGCTAAAAATAGAACCCAAGCTTTAAGTATCAGCTTTTGCCAAAACCTGCCCAGCAGTGTGGCATGACATGACTGGCCAGAACTTACTTTGACTTCCAAGTCAAGAGCAGGACCCTTCATATTCTGGCAGTAAAGCAGTACCACAGAATCATAGAATCACAGAATCACAGAATGTGCTGTGTTGGAAGGGACCCACAAAGATCATGGAGTCCAACCCTTATGCAAGAACACCTCTGCTTTTTAGATTCCCTGGAATCTCTGCAGAGGGAGAACGTTGCATGCTGTGCTCCCACCTCACCACATCATCTCCACGCCACAACGCCCTGTCTGGGTTTTCATTCAAAATCCACCACCCGTGTCCTGACCCTTTTCCATCTCTTACAAGATCAAAGTCCCAAGAACTTGAAAGACACACAGTGACATGATTTATCCTCAGGGGAGCATGATGGATTCTGAAATTTCCTTCTCCCCTGGATGCCACACTGTCCTCCTGCCCATAAGATGGAAATACTGATTTTGTTTCTGATCTGGCTTGTGTAAATATATGTGAGAGAATAGCTAATGTCATTGCACAGGGACACAGAGGAAGAAGTTGCAGAGAAGAAGGGGATATTAACTCTTCCACTCTTTTAGATTTCCAGGCTGCAGTGTAATCCTACAAAATTAAACAATATGATCAGGATTTCCCCTTTTCCTCTTGACCTGACTTTTTAAAGCTAGGGCTAAGAACTGCAGCACATTTCTTTTCCCAAAGCAAAACACGATCCGGGATAAAAGTCAGTTTAGTTGAGAGAAAAAAGTAAAACAAAAATAGATCTTTTCCATAAACAAAGCTGCTTTCCATTTTGCTAACATAAACAGGCAGATGCATTAAGAGATCATGCCACCCAGGCCCTGGAAAAAGAAGCAGGAAAATATATTTCTGAGTATTTTCCTGAAGGTGCAAGGATGGCTGAGCCTAAGGCAATCTGAGCAGAGGGACAAGGCTTTATAAACAGGGCAGCTTTACAGTTTCACCTGAGATTCAGAAGAACTATCCTTCCATGGTTAGGTCAAAAGCAGCATCCTCTCCTTCCTAAATGAAATCTGTGCTTATAGTAGGAACCTGTGCACATGGTATGCCTTCAGTCACCCTAAATTTTCACAGAAATATAGGTTTTTGCAGTAGTCTCTACGACTGTGTAAACAGAATTTCAGCTCTATGGGCATGGACGTGGAACTGGATGAGGCAAAAAAAGTCTTCCAGAAATTAAAGTCTCACCTTTGCAGACTGAGAGGCTACAGGTAAGTGCTGTGTGAATGAAACTCCCCTCCCCCAAGGGACCAGGGGATGAAACAAGAGAAATAAGAAATGATTGCTGTCCTAATTATGGGCTGGATTTGCTGACAACCCTGCTGAAGTCAAGCAGCTGGGATGGACCCTGTTCTGTTAAAGCCCACACATCTTTTCTCTCTCTCTTGAATCATTCCCTTAGTGGGAAATTGGTCCTTGTATACTGCAAGACCCACATACTGTTTAAGCCATCAAAATAATCTTTCTGTAATTGTCTGGAGATGCCTACAATCTAGATATCGACAGGCATCTGAACCTAAATGATGCTTTGCAATAAATCACACCCAGGAGATGCTACAGTCTTCTGATATAGATACATATATATATATATGCGTGCATACAAGGTCTGCAAGAGCAAAGCTCCTGCAGGGTTTGGTAACATAACTGATTCAGGTCAATTTAAGACACAACGAGTACACCCAGTGCAAAAATGGCTTCTTCCACTTTAGCTGGTGCCTGAAAAGAAGATTTGGCATTTAGTTTCAATAT